GATCCAGACTTGACATTTGGGATTCAGACATTTCGACGAGGGACTATTTGGGCTTGTGCCGAAGACTTGGTGTTGACGACATTCCCATCTTCCCCCTCCTCTTCGTCTATCCCCTTCCTCTTCGTCTGTGTATGGTATGGGCTGGCGCAGTCTTCCTGTGTGAAGCGCCAGGCCCCATTCACACCATGTAACGATGATGATGATGTATGTTCAGGGCTGCATTGCAACATTGATTGTTCGGATCACTGGTATCTAAATCTTCCGTTGTGCTATCTTATACTTTGTATTGAAAGGTCGGTTCTTGTTATGGTCTGCACGTTACGGTATGCAACAATCACAGATGGCTTGCCAGATACACCTATTCCTACAACCTCCTCGAGAGGCAACCAAATGGAAAGCTATAGTAAACTGGATGATAGATTTCTTCGAGAGAGATCGCCCCTCCCTCCCCCTACCCCTTCCCCCTCAGCCCTACACTGCCTCTGCCGAGGAGAGTCACCCACTCTCCCTCGGCTCCAATATAGGACCAATCCTCTCCCCCCCTTTCCCCAGGAGCACGCAGTTCCCACATTAAGCATGCCCCCTCGCCCCTTGCCCATTTCCGCCTCCGCAGGGACTGATGTTGACCCACACACAGTCCATGCCCCAGAATAAGGCAACCCCCTACTCCGCCCCTACCCTCTTTGAGACATTCACCCCCCACCTTGCGATGCCCCTGCAGGATAGAGCTCCCCCCACCCCCTTCCCACCGTTCAGCCCTCCGGGAAGAATCCGATCCAGCCGACTACAGTTATTGATGACACACTTACCAAAATATCATTCGCTTGGATTTTGTTGGATTTTGTTGATGATGATGGACAGCACCCTGAAGACAATGATAATGAGAATGATGGTGACAACCAACTCACCTGCTGATGCAGAGCAACATCTAATGAAAACAAGCTGATGATGATGATGAGAATGAAAACGGAATGATGATGCTGATCATACCAAAGAGCAGCACCAACGGCCCCTATGATTACAAACTGATGATGATGA